CTCCTTTTTTTAATATTCCAAATTGTGGCTGTTACTGAATATAAAGGCTAGTAGGGAAATGTCCCTACACACAAATATCCTGGGAAGTATATTTGAATTTCCAGAAGCAATTGATGGGGTACTTAAAAACCCGGCCACATGTATTGCAATGCACTCTACATGAGTATGCCCTGGAAGACATCTTGGAAACTCCAGCTCTTACAGATCATATCGCACTTGCCCAGAGCCACTTTCTAGAGTTCCGTTGTATTTATTCCCACCACAAGCCTTGCTCCTAGTATAACAATATTTATATGCAACTCATACAGGTCAATGAAGCTTTTTCCATCTCGTCAGGGGGAAATTCACTATTTATTCCTTAGGGAAATATTGCATCTAGTGGCTAAAAGAGATTATTTCTTTAACATGTGTTTGGAACCACTTGGTAAAATGGATGCCTGGGATCAAACAGAGGTAACAAACTCCTGATGCTCTCATCAAAGATTTTTTAAATCTTCCACCTGTCAGAAATACAAGAGCTCTGGATGAAGGGAGGTCCGAAGCTAGTGTGGGGTGTGTGTTGTGGGACAGCAGACACGTGGCTATTATGTGTAAGGAGAGGCCCTGCCTGGATCCACACCACGGTGACATCCAGACTAGACTACTGCAATGCCCTGTGTGGTAGGAGACCCCCCACAGTGGGAGTCCCCCCCCCAAGTCCAACCCAAGCAATGGCAAAATACCCAGACTCAAGTGGTCACCAAAGGCCCCGGTCACACGGGAAGTTTTGCCCCGCAAGAGGGACGGATCGGAGGCACAGCAAACGGGTGTGATCACACCGCAACATCTGGGAAGTGGTGCGCACCCGTCCCCGATCCGTCCCTTCAGTCCAAAAACGTGCATTAAAAAAAAAAAACTAGAAAAGAGTACGACCAACCTGAAACGCCGCAGCAAGCGTGGCCATGGGATCGCCGGCGCGCCTGTCTTCAGCAGCATTCGAGGCTCCCAGCTGAACTGCGCATGTGCACACATGCGCAGCCGGCTGCCTCACTCTCCCTTCCATGCCCCCCGCATCTGATAGTGCCGGGGAGCAACTGCGCGGCGGCTCAGGGGATGTGTCTGATCCTGCTGCCGCGCGTCTCTTTTGGTGTGGCTCTAAAAAGCCGCACTTTGGCCACACCAATTTCCCCTGTGTGACCGGGGCCAAAGAAACAGCTTTTTTTCCACTGCAGTGAAAAGGTCTCTAGCAATCAGGCCAGAAGACCCCCAGAATAGCATTACAAAAGCTTAAATACCTATTAGATTGATACAATCATGTAATAAAGTTTAAACCAACCCATTAATTAATATTGACACCCTTATTCTGACATATTTAACTCAACGCCCCTCAGCTGTTTTCCCCACGTCTATTACATTTTAGTTGTCTAAGCATTTCCTTAGCCAGCAATATAGCTCTCTAGCAAGCAAACATTCTTGAGGAAAGAATTGTTACAACCTCTGCTAGCCTGACTCATCTCTAAGGCAGCAAATTCAAGGCACAGAGACAGTGTGAATCACACAGAACAGTCTTTGTTTTTGTTCACTGTATGAGCTCCCTTGTGTGAAGCTTCTGCCTTTCCGGATGGGAGGGGTTTCAGGCCAAGGGCTGCGAGTTTCCCGACAGGAGGAAGGCCCAGATTTTGTCCCTCACACCTGTATGTTGGTCTCACCTCAAAAGGAACACGAAGACTGCCATTGGTGCAGAACACCACAGCTCAGCTATTAACAGGAGTTAAATTGTGTAATGTCCACCCTTAGTGAGTCGACTTTTGCCCCAGTATCTGCTGCATGGGCTATGTGTGCTTTTCTTGAGCCGGAAGCATGGAACACTGCACCAAGATATTTGAAGGTCTGCACCAGTTCAATCAAATGGCCATCGATGGTCCAGGTTCTAGACTTCTATTTCTTACCAAAGGCCATTATGTTTGCTTTTAGATAGTTTATTGAGAGAAAGTCTTCTTTGCAAGGCTGTACTAGAGCCTTTAGGGCTCTTCTTAGCCGAGCTGGGGCCCTTAACAGAATATCTGCATCATCTGCATATAATAGATCTGACGATGCTGTACTATAGGAGAATGAAAGGCCTGGTCATTTAAACATCTGACCAAGCCATTTATATAAAAGTTGAAGAGAGCCGGTGCTAAAATGCAGCCCTGTTTCAAGTCTTTTAGAGTGGGGATGGGGTTTGAAAGATGTCCCAGCTTGCTGCAGCTGACCTTTAGAGAGGTGTTTTCATGTAGGGCACGGATCAGGAAAAGCAGCCTGCGATTGATTTTAGTGGTCTCCAACTTACCCCACAGCTTAGTTCTGGAGATAGAGTCAAATGCCGCCTTAAGATCAATGTAGGCAATATATAAAGATACTATTGTTCAAGAGTATTTCTCTATGAGTTGCTGGAGGATCATACAGCGATCTGTAGTACATCACCACCTCTGTATATAACAGAATTTGGTTTCTAAGTTCAGAAGTCTAATAAGCCTTTGCTGTTTTGCTGGCAGCCTAGGCGTAAAAACTAAACCCTTGCCCTGTAGATGTAGAAGAAGACAAAGATGACGAAGAAGAAAAAGAGATTGGATTTATACCTCACCCTTCACTCAGTCTCTCAGAGCGGCTTATAAACTCCTTTCCCTTTCCCTCCCCACAACAGACACCCTGTGAGGTAGGCGGGGCTGAGAGAGCTCTTTCCAGAACTGTTTTTGAGAGAACAGCTCTGACAGAACTATGGCTTGCCCACGGTCATCCAGCAGCTGCAAGTGGACTGGGGAATCAAACCTGGTTATCCCAGATTAGAGTCCACACATTTAACCACTACACCAAACTGGCTCTCTTTGTACCTTTGCCTGAATGCACATTCCATAGTCTTACAAGTGCTAGGTTCCAAAGTCTAAACATATCTTTATAGGTGTTTTTGACATTGCAATTAATAAAATCTATCTGGGCAACAGTTCCTGTTAGTGAAGGTTCGTGTTATCTTTTTTTTTTTAAAAAAAATATATATAACATTTTTATTTTTCCAAAACAAACAAACATATAATTGGGATACAGTAGTGCATATTGATCTTTTCTCTATTAGAGTACCTCATACAGTCATTAAATCTATCTCATTTTTCCACCATAAATTGGTTATGTAGAGTTTGCAAATATATGAATATACAATTTCTTATTCTCTAATATAAAATTTCCCTAAATATGCTATTAAATTTTTGAATTATACTGTAAAGTGTATGACTCTTTATTCTGAATACAAGTATGTTAGGATCTTACTCCCTCAAAAATATCTGGGACTCCCTCAATATATAAATGATGTAGTCCTAAAATGGAGCACGTTCCCTCATACTTTCCCCAGAATTTCTGTAGGTATCAACTTTTTCTTGATTTTCTGGTTGCTCCTCTTAAGTTTTAAAGTCTTGATTCTGTGTCTTTTTCCTTTATAAGTGTAAAAATTGTCTTCTGCAAACAGTCATCTATGTTCCCTCTTTGTAGTATCTTGTAATTCCATTAAAAAAAAATTGTTAGCTGTTGTAGATTTTCCGGGTTGTCTGGCCGTGGCTGGCTCATGGCTGCCATGAGTGCTTTTCTTCGTTTCTTGCTAGAGACAATCCACAAGCTTCCACTCGCCTGTCGCCACAGGCGGCGGGCCTGGGTCTCTTGCACTGCACCCCACTCCAAGGAGTGCAGCGGAGCTTGGGAGCCCACAAGTCTCCTCTAAAACGAGAAGCCGGCAGTGCCAGGGAGCAAGTCCCAGCTCTGTCTGTCTCACAGCATTGCACCCCGGAACTCCAGATTCATCTTATCAACCAAGAGTCGGGTAGTATTTTGCAAGGTTGGTATATCTTAAGTGACTCTTCCCTTGATTCCTGTTGGCTGAAAACTATCTAAAATTTGAAAAGGAGGCTTTGGGCTTTGTTTGATGCTGTTTAGCCAACACCCCACCTAGGCTTAAGTGAGGTCTTGGTACACAGTCCAGGAATTCCTTGTTCTTTCTGAAGTGTACACTATATCGAGCACTGGAAATCTTCTATATGCTATTAGGTATTGATACTGAATATATGCTATTTTTACTTCTGTATGGTTTAGAGTTGATAAATACTTTCGGTTTAAGGCAACTGTTCTTGCTGTGTTTCTCTCTCTCTGGAGGCCTGAGTTCCTGTCATGATCTGGGCTGTGCCACCAGAGACCTACTAGGCCCAAGGAGCCTGTCTAGCAGTAGGTGAGGCTGGGCCTACAACTCCCAGAAGCCCCTGGGAGGTTTTAGAGCCAAAATGGACAAATAGGAAAAGAGGAGAGCTGGAAATAAATGTTCTGAAGCAGCAGGAAAAGCTGTTCTTTCTTCCAGAGGGCAGAGCCAGAAAGAAGGCTGCTGCAGGGGAAAACACTCATCCTGAGGGAGGGGTGAGTAGTGTAAGGCCACTTGAAATAGTGAGCTAAGGAAAGTAAATTTAGACGTGTTTGGGCATTTGATTTCTTTTCTTCCATTTACTGTTATTATTCTGCACCTTGTTGTTTGACCTCCTATAAAATAAACCTTTTCCTTGTTTTACTCTGCTTGGTCCTTACGCCTGTTATTCAGCTTAAAGGGAGGTCTGAAAGTCTTGGGAGGGTGCTCTGGGCCTTCTCAAAGGAACTTAAATTCAGAGTGGTGGCAGCGTCAGGTGACACCCCACCTGAGCAGTCACAGTTCCTTAGCCAGATTCCACTCACTCATGGCAAAGAACCCTAAGGGGCATGGGGATCCCTGGAAGCAGCATGGACCACCCCAAATTTCTCTCCCCTGAGTTCCTTAGGCAGATTCCACTCACCCATGCGAAAAAACCCTAAAGGGGATGGGGATCCCTGGTAGCAGCCTGGACCCCCAAAATCTCCTTACAGGTTCTTAGATGTTCTTCAAGACTGCTACCGAATCTCTTCCTACACCCTGAACATTCAAAAGGTTTCTCCCCTGTGTGGGTTCTTAGATGGGTTTGAAGATGGCCACTGTGACTGAATCTCTTCCCACATTCTGAGCATTCAAAAGCCTTCTCCCGTGTGTGGGTTCTTAGATGTCTTTGAAGATGACCACTGCGACTGAATCTCTTCCCACACTCTGAGCATTGAAAAGGCTTCTCCCCTGTGTGGATTCTTAGATGGCTTTGAAGACTGCCCCTTTGACTGAATCTCTTCCCACATCCTGAACATTCAAAAGGCTTCTCTCCTGTGTGGGTTCTTAGATGTCTTTGAAGAGTGCTACTGTCACGGAATCTCTTCCCACACTCTGAGCATTCAAAAGGCTTCTCCCCTGTGTGGGTTCTTAGATGTATTTGAATAGTGCCACTGCGACTGAATCTCTTCCCACACTCTGAGCATTCAAAAGGCTTCTCCCCTGTGTGGGTTCTTAGATGTATTTGAATAGTGCCACTGCGACTGAATCTCTTCCCACACTCTGAGCATTCAAAAGGCTTCTCCCCTGTGTGGGTTCTTAGATGGGTTTGAAGATGGCCACTGTGACTGAATCGCTTTCCACATTCTGAGCATTCAAAAGGCTTCTCCCCTATGTGGGTTCTCTGATGTTCTTGAAGAGCACTACTATGACTGAATCTCTTCCCACACTCTGACCATTCAAAAGACTTCTCCCCTGTGTGAGTTCTTAGATGTTTTTGAAGACTGCTACTTTCACTGAATCTCTTCCCACACTTTGAGCATTCAAAAGGCTTCTCCCCTGTGTGGATTCTTAGATGGGTTTGAAGAGTGCTACTGTGACTGAACCTCTTCCCACATTCTGAGCATTCAAAAGGCTTCTCCCCTGTGTGGGTTCTTAGATGTCCGTGAAGAGCCCCACTCTGACTGAACCTCTTCCCACATTCTGAGCATTCAAAAGGCTTCTCCCCTGTGTGGGTTCTTAGATGTTTTTGAAGAGTGCTACTGTCACTAAATCTCTTTCCACATTCTGAGCATTCAAAAGGCTTCTCCCCTGTGTGGGTTCTTAGATGTATTTGAAGATGGCCACTGCGCCTGAATTTCTTCCCACACTCTGAGCATTCAAAAGGCTTCTCCCCTGTGTGGGTTCTTAGATGGGTTTGAAGAGTGCTACTGTGACTGAATCTCTTCCCACATTCTGAGCATTCAAAAGGCTTCTCCCCTGTGTGGGTTCTTAGATGGGTTTGAAGAGTGCCACTGCAACTGAATCTCTTCCTGCACTCTGAGCATTCAAAAGTCTTCTCCCCTGTGTGGGTTCTTAGATGGGTTTGAAGATGGCCACTGCAACTGAATCTCTTCCCACATTCTGAACATTCAAAACGCTTCTCCCCTATGTGGGATTTTTGATGTTCTTGAAGAGTGCCACTGCAACTGAATCTCTTCCCACACTCTGAGCATTCAAAAACCTTCTCCCCTGTGTGGGTTCTTAGATGGGTTTGAAGATGGCCACTGTGACTGAATTTCTTCCCACAATCTGAACATTTAAAAGGCTTCTCCCCTCTGTGGATTTTTTGGTGCACAAGGAGCTGTGATCTGTATTTGAAGTAGTTTCCACACCAAAAGCATTTACATGCATTCGTTATACTGTCCTTTGAAAAATGTATTTTACGTTTGCCACCAACAGAGAACATCATTCCACTCTCTGAGCAAATAAATTCCTTCCCTCCTGAATGAATCCTTTGGTGTCGAACATGGTCTGATTTATTTGAGAATCTCTTGTCACAATCTGAGCAGCTATAAGGTTTCTCTCCTTGAAGTCTCTCTCTTTGAAGTCTAAGGAGCTCTGCTCTGGGAATAATGGTCTTTCCACACTCCAGCCAGTGATGGGTCTTCTTTCCATTGTGCATTTGTAAATGGACATTATACTGGGATTGATCTGAGAAATTCATTCCACACGCCAAGTACTTGTCTTTTTCCTCCACCATATGAATTACTTCTTGGAAATCCCCCCCTTGGCAAGGAATAGGTTTACCCCTCTTCTGGACAGTGTGGCTTCTTTTCTGCCTCTTAGGTCCAACTTGGTAACTGAAGTTTCCTATCAAGTCTTCATTCTTGACTTCATCTGGTGATAGAGGATGCAGTTCCTCATCCCCCTCAACTTCCCCTGCTGGAATAAAGAAAGAGATCCTGTTAGAACCCAGGCAAGGAGGTCTGATCTGCACCTGAATTTCCATTCGCATTCCCAATGTTACAGTGGCTTCTTCCCGCTGTATGCTGAAGTGTAGAATAACATACATTTAAAAAGTACTGGGCATGGAAGAGGGGTCACTGGGGGTGGGAGGGAGGTATTTGTGAATTTATTGCAATGTACAGGGGGTTGGACTAGATGGCCCTGGAGGTACCTTCGAACACTATGATTCTATGATTCTGTGACACATTAAGCCTCCTCCATGAAAGATGCTTCATTTGGACTCTGACCATTTATATGGCTCCCCAGCTGTGTGACTTTTTGGATGTGAATTAAGGGCTGTTTTCTGACCAAAGCTCTTTCCACACTGCAAGCAATTATATGGTTTCTCTCCTAAGGGAATTTGTGTCTGCAAAATAACGTTCATTCTCTGACTGAAAGTCTTTGCAAAGGCCACACTTTCAGTTTCCCTGGAGTGGATTCTCTGGTTAGGATGGAGGCCTTTGTTTCTTCCCTTTTTGATTGACTCTTCACCTTGGACTGGGGTTTCATGGAAACCCCCTCCTCAGTAAGGAATGGACATCCCTCCTCTTACCTGCTTGGCTTCCCTCCTGCCCCTGTGGTCCATCTCCAAAGTGTCCTTCAGCATCTTCATTCTTGACTTTTTCCAAAGAGAACCCCTGGAATTCCCCAGCTGTCTCCTCTACATCTGCTCCTGGAATAAAGAGTGTCAATCAGCGCCCAGGCAAGAAGCCAATGCACCAGCCAGGCACTGCTCAGGAATGGGTGTGCATTTCTCTTATCCGATCATCTTTCCTCCCAAACTGAGACACTGGTCACACCTTATCCCTGCCAGGCCCTCCCGTAGAGCTGTTTTTATATTCCATCTATCCCTCCCCTCCCCAAACTCCCCATATATATTTTAAGGGGAAAGTGGCAAAAAATGTGGGGGCCCCCCTCTCCTTTGACTTACCGTGCTTTTTGACTTTTGATTCTCTGCACTTGATGGTCAAGTTTCCTTCAAGTTGTCACTAGAGCCAGGAGGAGCTGATTATCAGCATCCCCAAAATACATGTTTTCGGGGGGGGGGGGCAGGAGCTTACCAAGTGAACCCTATAGTTCAAAGGGGACCCCCCTGGTCTTTGGAAAAGATGCTGCTTGCTGGGGGGGGCAGGTCATGACAGATGAGAAAGCCAACCTTCCAGTGTAGGGTCACCTTTCTCAAGGTCAGCCATTTTTTTCTATATCTGAGCCATTCTCTGCACCTTAGCTGGGACTCTCTATTGTCTAAAGCACCGCCGTGTCTTAATCATCCAAGCAGTTCTGCCAGAAGACTGATTATTGCGCCTCAATGTCATTAACATGTTACAGTAGACTAAGGCCCTCTGGAAGACCGACCCAGAAGAACACGCAGTGTCAAAAAGTCCAGATAAGACCCCAGAAGAGTCTGTCCTGTTCCATCCTCCCCAAACACCTGAGAGACGCAGTGACCACACAGCAAGCGTGCAGATATGCACATGTTCAGCATGACCAGGATGATAGAATCGAAACATGGGGAAGTTAGTCTGGCAGACCCTTAGAGCAACAGAGGGTTCTCACTGTTGTCAACCCTCTTCCCTGGGGACAGGGGGAGATGGTGCTGGCCGGCCTTGGAGAAACTCCGGCATCGGGGCACGCTGAGTGGACAGGTATTCCTGGCTTTTCTATGTGTTTGTGCTTTTCTTTGGCAGATGGCTTCCTGCCTCAAGGGGCTGGAAGGGACTTAGCCTTTGGATAGGAGTTGGTTGCTTGCCTCTTGGGGAGATGGAAGGTGGCTACAGTGCTTTCTCTATCTTGTTGCGGCTCAAACAAACTGTGCTTCAACTGAGTACCTGACTCTGTCTTTAGTGAGCTGACAGTTTCAGAGGGAATCTCTTCAATAGCACACGATCCCACTCTCTTGGGGTGAGGACTGATTCCCGTCACCACAACAGAGACTGCTGTGTGATTTGGCATTAGCCACTTGCACTTGGGTGGCAGTGTTAACTGGTGGGACTACTCACTGCAGGCCACCCCTGCAAGGTAGAACAGCTCTAACGAAAGCACTCCCATCTCCACCTAATAGTAAGGCCTGAAGGCATCCAGGAGACCGCTGTAGGAATGGCTTGGGTGATGCCCACTACACTTGCCATGCTGAACCATCGTTTTCACTGCCACCCCAACAAGGCCCCCAGGGAGAGGGGGAGGTAGCCAGGCAGTCCTCACAACCGCATGTTGCTGTTCAATATTTTGATTCATGCATCATCCCAATGGCAGCAATTCGCACCTTTGGCACCTATGAAAGGTCCTTACCCAGAGAGGCCACACTCCCGTAGTTCTCCAGCATGACGTCCCTGTAGAGAGCTCTCTGGCCAGGAGCCAGCAAGGCCCACTCGGCCTCGGTGAAATACACGGCCACCTCCTCAAAGGAAAAGGGAGCCTGAAAGGAAAGGCAGATTCCCTCGTCAGAGATCAGTCCCGGCAGAGACTACACTCTCAACGGTGAGTGCAGGATGTAGAGTTTGGCATGCGTAAAAAGAGTGGGGTTCAGAGCTTGTCTCTGCTCGGTCAGCAGGACCAAAGGAGGGACGTCTTTTGAGCTAAGGATCGCTAGTAAACACTAGTCTGATTAGCGCAAGGCTTGACGAGACACATATGAGGAGAGGCAGTCCCGTAGACATGTGGGTCCCTGGCCGCTCAAGGCCTTAAAGGTTAATACGAGGACCTTGAAATGGACTCGGAATACTATTGGTAGCCAGTGCAGTTCACAGAAAAGGGGTGAGTGTGACACCCCTTTTCCACTCACCCCGAGTGCCTACCAGCCCCTCAAACCTCTCTCTCCCAGGTTCAGGGTTATCAGCAAGTCAGGACATCACAAGTGAGTTAACATCAAGTACCTATTGTGTTTGCTTCTTTGAATTCTGTATCACCCATCCCTGCTCCCAGGGTTGTGAAACCTTGGCTGAGGTCACACACACTAAATAATCCACTTTCATAAGAACATAAGAGACGCCAATGTTGGATCAGGCCAAAGGCCCATCCAGTCCAACACTCTGTGTCACACAGTGGCCAGAAATACCAGTGCCATCAGGAGGTCCACCAGTGGGGCCAGGACATTAGAAGCCCTCCCACTACTGACCCCCCCAAGCACCAAGATGACAGAGTATTACTTGCCCCAGAGTCCCTATCTATACCTTGTGGCTAATAGCCACTGATGGACCTCTGCTCCATATGCTTATCTAATTCCCTTTTGAAGCCGTCCATGCTTGTAGCCGCCACCACTTCCTGTGGCAGTGAATTCCAAGTGTTAATCACTCTTTGGGTGAAGAAGTACTTCCTTTTATCCGTTCAATCCACTTTCCAACTGCATTTTTACTGTGTGAACTGGCAAAATCCAGTTCAAAGGTGCATTTAAAGTGGACTGAAAGTAGATTATTTAGTGTGTGTGACCACAGCCCTTGTCTTCTTTAGTCAAGAAGATTTGTAATGACTTTTCATAAGGTGTCGGAGAGGTGGAAGAGAAGCACCAGGTACCCATGAGCCTTGGCATAAATGCTGCCAACCCTTCTGTGAGACTTGAAATGTGCCCTGTGCACCCTGGAGCTCCAAAGGCTGCAGCATCGCTGCTGGAAGAGACCAAAAGCCCAGGCCTGCCATTCTCCCGCCTGTTTGTGCCTCTGCATTGGACTGGCAGGAGAAAAAGAGAGGACGGGAAATCCTGTTGCATGACACATCACCATCACATCCAGCCAAAAACCCAGATTTTTTTTAGTGCATCAGACAAGGCTCTGGAAACTCTGGGGTCCCACCAATGGGCTTCCAGGACGCCTGCTGATGCTCTGACTTCACATCCAGGTATTCGGTGAGATGAGACATCCACGTGACATCACAACCAACCCAAGCTCCACCCTCCAACCTCATGGGGGTAGCAGACCATGGCCTGGCAACCCTAGGTCCAGTATCCTCTCTCTCACTGTGGCCTGCCAGATGCCCCTGGAAAGCCTTTAAGCAGGAGGAGGGAACCCACACTATTGCCCCCTAGCAATGCTGTTTCAGACTTCTGCTGACCCAGAATATGGCCAGGGATGGGTGGGTTGTAAACTGCTGTGAAGTCACAGCAGACTTATGGTGAACCCACAAGTTATTCAAGGCAAGAGACCTTCAGAGATGGTTTGCCATTGCCTGCCTCTGCATAGTAACCCTGGACTTCTTTGGTGGTCTCCCACGTGAGAACCAACCAGGGCTGACCCTGCTGAGCGTCTGAGATCCGAGGAGACTGGGCTAGCCTCGGCCATCCACGTCTGGGGAATGTGGACGTTCCATTTATTCCCCATAATAGCTGCACCCAGATTTCTCTTCCTTTCCTTTTCTGAGCCACCTTGGGACCCTCTAATGGAAGGAAGGGGAGAGAGGCACATTTTAATTAATGTAAATAAGAATGGAATTGCCCTCCATGGATCTGTCTACTCCCCTATAAAGTAAAGTGGCCATCACGACTTTCTATGGCACTCTGTGTCCCAGAACTCCATTCTATGTAGTCTGCAAAAGTATTCCCATTTTCTCCTGTTTTGAACCTTCTGCCCAACAAACCTGATGAGGTCTCCCAATCCCATCTAGGCAGGAGGCACCCTTACCACTTGACAGGGCATCCTCCTGGGCCCGCACCCTCTGACTTTCCTCTGACGGAGCACCTTCTTCCTCAGAGAGCTTTGCTTCCATCTTCACAGATCGTCCCCACATCTGAAACAACAGCAAGGGAGGCAGGTAAGAGAAGGAATGGAAATATCTAGTGGAATATCTAGAGGTAGAAATGTCTAAGAAAATATGGGAAGAATACACTGAGGAATTATACTAAGGAGATGAAAGGATGACAGATTCCTTTCCAGAAGAATCTTTGGAAGAAGAACCAACGGTTTTAGAAAGTAAAGGAAAACTGCACTGAGAGCAATTGGGGGAAACAGATCACCAGGGGTAGATGGGATATCAAAAGAAGTATTCCAAGGCACAGAAAAGGATTCCTTCAAAGTCTTAACAAGAATATGCTAACAAAGATGGAAAACAAAACAGGGCCTGCAGTGTGGAAACACTCACTCTACATTGCTATTCCGACAAAAGGAGACATCAAAGACTGCAGCAACTACTGGACCTTCACATTAATTTCTAATTTCTCAAAATCTTATATGGCTTAGGGTGAGCCGGCTGAAACTGAATCTGATGAAGACGGATGTCCTTTGCCTGAGTCGGGGCAGTCCGGGGGTAGGGATCCTGCTCCTGACCTTCGATGCTGGACCTCTGGTGTCAGCGCTGGAGGTAAGGAGTCTGGGAGTGCTCCTAAATGCCTCCTTAACAATGGAGGCCCAGGTAGCCTTTTACCATCTCCGGCTGATTAGGCAGTTGGTTCCCTTCCTCGAACGCAACAACTTAGCAACAGCAATCGATGCAATGAGCGCCTCGAGATTGGACTACTGTAATGCTCTCTACATGGGGCTGCCCTTGTCTCAAATCCGGAAGCTGCAGCTGGTGCAAAATGTTGTGGCCAGACTGCTGATGGGACTCCCAATTTGGGAGCACATCCAGCCTGTGCTCAAGGCATTGCACTGGCTGCCGATAGCATACTGAATTCGTTTCAAGGTGCTGGTTCTTACCCTTAAAGCCCTTTATGGTCAGGGACCTACATACCTGAGGGACCACCTTTCCCCACATGTTCCCCAGAGAGCACTGCGTTCAGGGGCCCAGAATCGTCTGGCCTTCCCGAGTCTTAAGGAGGCCATGCTGGTGACAACCAGGGTGCGGGCCTTCTCGGTGGCAGCTCCATCCTGGTGGAATGAGCTCCCAGAGGAGATCAGGGCCCTGCGGGACCTACTATAGTTCCGCAGGGCCTGTAAAATGGAGCTCTTCAGCCAGGCTTTTGGAGCTGCCACCACCTCTAACAACTAGGAAGAGAAGCCCTGTTGCCCTGAAACTTATATTAACAACTGTGCCAGCTGCCAGAGGGACACCTAAAAGACACCTATAGAAGATCTGTGCCGGTGGAAGAGATTCTATGATTGGTATAATATGAATGGAGTTAAAGATTAAGCTGATATGGCAAAAATAATATTTGGGTATGTAGTAATATAATATAATGGAACTAGAGAATATTAACAAATATTAGAGAATAATGAAGCGATGACTTAGGTGTAATAACAAACTGTAACAGGTCTCTTGGCTTATATGTTGTTTGTTGTAGTTGTTTATATCTGTGGTTAGGAGTATAAGAAAATAATAAAAGTGTACCTTCGGGTACTTTAAAAAAGAAGAAGAAGAAGATCTGTGCCGGCCATGGGAAGAGAGAGTTGATGGTAGCCATCACAAACTCTATAATAGCAAAACTAGCACTGATTATGGAATTGTAATGTCTTAAATACTGTTTTAAATGCTTTATTGTATTATTTAAATGTTTCATGTGGATTTTATGTAAGCCGTCCTGAGCCGGCCTTGGGCTGAGAGGGCGGGGTACAAATTTGAATGAATGAATAAATAAATAAATATATTGAAGACTGTTACCATAGATGGAATAAGAAATACCAGGTGTTGAAGCCGGATTCAAGAAATGGACAAAGTACTTGAAATCATATCATAAATTTAGGTTGTTTATTGGAGCATACGGGAGAGTTTTAGAAGAAAACCATCTTGTGTTTCATAGATTACAGCAAAGCTTTGGAATGCGTGGATCATGGGAAGCTATGGTTGGTTTTAAAAGAAATGAGTCTGCCACAACAACTCTTTTCTTTGATATGCATCCTCTACTCTGAACAATAGGCCAGAGTTAGGACAGAAGATGGAAAAACAGAATGGTTTCCAAACTGGCAAACGTTTCAGATCACAATGTATTTTCTCTCCCTTTCTCTTCAACCTATATGCAGAACATATCATAAGGAAAGCTGGATTCAATTTAGATGAAGGAGGAGTGAAAACTGGCTGAAGGAACAGTACCTGTTTGAGATATGCAGTTGACACCACGTTACTGGCAGAAAATAGTGAAGTCTTGAAAGAACTACCAATGTAGGTTAAAGCAGGAAGTGCCAAAGCAGGGTTACAGCTGAACATCATGAAGACAAAAGTAATAAACAGTATGGAATTTTAGAAATGTAGATTTAATGATGAAGAACTTGAAATTGCTCAAGACTTTCTGTTCCTTGGCTCCATCGTCAACCAAACAGGAGACGGGAAGCAAGAACTCAGGAGACTGAGGCTGGGAAGGGCAGCCAAGAAGGAGCTAGAAAAGATTCTCCAGTGTAAGGATGTGTCGCTGGTGACCAAGATTGAGTTAATTCATGCCACAGTAGTTCCCATTACTATATGTGGGGGGTGGGGAAGGAGGAGTAGGGGGGAAAGAATTGTATTTATATCCTGCCCTTTCCTCAGAGAGCAGCTTACAATCTCCTTCCATTCCTCTCCCCACAACAGACACCCCGTGAGGTAGATGGGGCTGAGAGAGCTCTGAGAAAACTGCTCTTGAGAGAACAGCCACTGATCCAAGGTCACCTAGCTGGCTGCATGTCAAGGCATGGGGAATCAAACACAGTGCTCCAGACTGGAGTCCGCCACTCTTAATCACTACACCAAACTGGCTCCTAGTTGTGGTACTGAGCCAGTTTGGTGTAGTGGTTAAGTGTGCGGACTCTAATCTGGGACAACCAGGTTTGATTCCCCACTCCTCCACTTGCCCCTGCTGATGTGACCTTGGGTCAGTCACGAGCTCTGGCACAGCTGTTCCTGAAAGAGCAGTTTGTGTCAGTTCTCTCAGCCCCACCTACCTCACAGGGTGTCTGTTGTGGGGAGGGGAAGGGAAAGGAGTTTGTAAGCCGCTCAGAGACTCCAAGTGAAGGGCGGGGTATAAATCCAATCTCTTCTTCTTCTTCTACTGGAGGAGTGTTATTATGGATACCGTGAACCACCAAAAAGACAAATCAGTGGGTTCTAGATCAAATCAAACCTGGGAGGGCTTCTAATGTCCTGGCCCCACTGCTGGACCTCCTGATGGCACTGGTATTTCTGGCCACTGTGTGACACAGAGTGTTGGACTGGATGGGCCTTTGGCCTGATCCAACATAGGCGTCTCTTATGTTCTTATGTTCTATGTTATGTAAACCTCAACTCTCCCTAGAAGGTAAAATGACTAAAATTAGACTATTGCACTTTGGTGACATTAAGAGAAGACAAGAGTCACTGGCAAAGACAATAATGCTAGAAATAGCTGAAGGCAGAAGGAAAAGAAGAAAACCAAACATGGGAGGGATTGACTCAATCAAGGAAGCCACGGCCCCCAGTTTGTACCATCTGAGGAAGGCTCTTCATTATATGACATTATGGAGGACATTAATTCATAGGGTCACTACAAGTCGGAAGGAAATTGATGGCAGTTAACATGCATAGAAATATCTGACAGGAAGCCTTAGGATAAGGTCACTGCTTGAACTGAGTGAATGAAAACCCCTCACCTGCTCTGCCTGCCTCTTCTCCTCTGCCTGACTCAGGAGGAAACCTTCGGCCAGGGCCACTGCCTGCGAACTGGTCTCTGGCCCGCATTCTCTGACCCAGCACTGCATGTCCTGGGGCAGGACGGCCAGGAACTGCTCCAGGATCACCAGGTCCAGGATCTGCCTCTTGGTGTTCCTCTCTGGCTCCAGCCAGTGGTTGCAAAGTCCATGGAGCCGGCTGCAAACCTCTCGGGGCCCTTCGGCCTCACGGTAACAGAACTGCCGGAAGCATCGGCTGCGTACATCTGTGCTCACAGTGCCCTGAACCATGATCTCTGGCACAGCTCTTTCCCAAAATTCAGCAGCACTCTCTGCTGGGATGGGATGGGGACTTTTTCTTGATCTCTTGCCAGTTCCAGGGCCTTTGGGGTCCTCCTCTTCCATCTCCTTTCTCTTCAGTTGCCTCTGAATGTGGAAAAACACTCTTATTCACTTGCCTATGAAGAGGGATAGGGAAAGATATCAAAAAAGGCAGAAACAAATCAAAAGAGAACTGAGTTATATCGGTCACCTGGTCAAGACAGACCTAAGTGGATCAGGAGTGTCCATGTTGTAGTTTGCGGATCAGGATTAATGTAATTTGGTTATATTAAGTATCAAGTTTTTACATTATGCTTGTTTGGTTCTTCAGGAAAGAAAAACATGTCTATTGAGCTCTTTAAAAATCTACCATGGATGTTATGAGTTTGGCCTCCAATTTCTGGGGACCATTCTGTTTAGTGGATGCAACTCTAGGTAAAGTGGAGCCCAGGACAAAGCGACTGGGAAGGGCTGAACCACTGCAGAGAGCTCCTCCATAGGCCAGACGGGCTGGGCAAGAGTTCTGCCCAAGCAGCCAGACAAGGGGAAGGGGCAGAGGGGCCTCTCCCGGTCAGGGCACACAGGGGCTGCTGGGGGGCGAACAGGAGCAGGAGAAGGAGGCAGGGATGGGGCAGAGGTCCTCAACTGCTTTCTGGCTGCTGTGGTTCAATTTCTAAGAGTGAACAAACTGGGACTGAACTGCCACAGTGACCTGGAGACTACCCTAGATCAATGCCCTGTACATTGCATGAAACCAATTCAGACACTCCAGCTGGTGCAGAACACCCGGGCTCAGCCATTATGCCATTAGCTAGATGGAGCAGGTGAATTACTGCCTATCTGCAGTCCCTCCACTGGTTGGCCTAGACAGGGGCCTTCTCCCTTCTGGTCCCTGGGAATGGTCTGCTTGAGTAGGAG